TGCAACAGGATAAACTGATTTCAGTTTAGTAGAGGCATTGTTGGGTTTGATTTAGTCAATTCAGTTAGCTAATAAATTCCGGTTCTATAGGAGTCAATTAGTGAACCAGATATTTCGGTTTGTTTTAGTTTGTTTTCTGCAATCTCTGTTTTAAGTTATTGTAAGAAGACTGAATCTTCATCTTTGGCTATTTAAAGGCCTAGTATCTTTGCTAATAAACATCGAATTATTCAGCTCTTTTTGTGTATTTAGGGTCTGAGATCAACAATATTTGCAACTAAACAAGAGATATTATGTTTTTCGTTTCCATTCTGTGTGATTAGGATCACCCACGTATCCGCCGAAATCGAATTTTATTAGTTTATGCGTATGATAATTGAAATATAATAAAAGTGATTTTGTCCGATTTTCTCCAGTTCTTTACATGTGAATGAGGAAGAACTGGTCCCAATTCATGAAAACATAACGCAATAATCATTGTTCTATGCTACTATATAGTATTACTTAACGAAACGGAATTTGGATTACCTTTAATAACTACTCGACTCTTTTCCTTATATAACTATCAAAATTTACATTCGATAGAGTTATTATTTATCTTTTCAGTGCAACTATAATAACAGTTGATAATAGTGTGTGATATAGTTCTCCATTTTTCATAGATTTTGAAGATTAGATTACGAATTGTTGATTTTCGTCGGTTATACCCAAAAAAAAAGGACTGACGGATGTTTTCTTTAACTATGTTCATGTATATATGCTTATAAAAATTGTTGATTTTGAATTTCAAACATGTGATATTCTTTTTTAGCTTAGATCGAAGCAAAAATACTATCACGTGTTTTATTTTTCCCAAATTGAGCTATGCATATGGTTATCATATCATTGTCATTAATATGAGATGTTAATTGAGTGTTCAAGAGGTTATATTCTCTCTGATATGTTCTGTCCCACGCCAATAGATTTTTTTTTATTGTCTCTCTAGCCTATAGAATTGTTTATATGCATGTTATTACATGTTTCTATATTAAAAGAAGGGATGGTCCCAAATACAGAATAAATACATACGAACATGTTATTTAATTACTCAATCGCGTGCACAGTTGACAGTTAATAGTTAATACAACGACCTTTTTGAAAATAAAATAACACGATAAACTACAATCATTCTCACTTGAAACACATTAAACTATTTCTACTTGTCGTTGGACCTATTTTTAAGTTAAGAGGGTTATATAAGAAACTTGCTGATTCGTGAAACACAGAAGAATTATAACTCAATTGGTTCCCATTGATTATCCAAACGAAATTGACCTGAAATTTGTTAATTTTTGAGAATAAAAAATCTAACAACTCAAACATATATTTTCAAAATAATAAACTCATATTTCATAAAACAAAATTATCTCAACCTGAAAAAAATAAAAAAACAATAACATGGTAAAATTTAAAAGAGATCATGTCCTAATGGAGATCTATTTTAATGAAACCTCTTAAACCCCTACTAAATGTCCTAATGGAGATCTACATGGAATCCCTTTCCTCCTATATGTTTTCGTTTTTTCTTCACAGGTTCAACATCTTCTGATGATGAATTCTCCATTAGCTCATCCAATTGTGACCCAAGAGTATTCCTAAACTGTCAAAATTTACAAAGATATAATGTTAAAAATTGACACAAAACGAAAGTTATATAGACTTAAAATTTAGAGAAAAAAGAAAATTCAGAATTATAACCACAAGAACGTACCTTGCATTCTATAGAACAGAACAAAGCAGAAGAAGCAGCATCAAGTTCCCATTCACAAACTTGGCATTTACGCGTAACATTGTTTCTATGACGATGATTATTACCATTCTCACGTCTCTGATTAATATAGATGATCGCAAACGAGTTTATCGAATATGTATGTATCCCACATGTATCCATAAATTTTGATATCGCCTCTTTCCTTACTCCGGATTGGTACGAACTTCTATATGTCTACAATTTCAAAAACACAATAACACAAATTAGATCACAACTAACAAGTTGATTGTTTTAAAAGTAATTAATGAAAAAAGATTTGTTACCTGAATCGTAGTATGGTCTTTGTGCTCGTTCCTTTTGTAGCATTGATCGCATAAAGGAGGAATCATACAATCGCAACAAAAGTAACATCGTTTTTTGTTGATGTGTTGATCGCATAATTCGTGGAATAGCTTCGACGTCACCATCTGAATAAGCCATGGATACCTTTTGATGCAGCTCTCAACTTCTAGGGTTTCTTGCATACTTTCCACCATTAGGTTTTTTTTTTTTTTTAACTTTCACAAGCAGTTCAATCTAATTAATGTGATTATTAATGGTGTTGTTCTAGTTTTAACACTTTTTTTATAGAGCCTATATAGTTTCTCAGAGAGATTAGGATTTGTCTTTTTGCTTACTTAACTCAAACATAGTTTCCTTTTTTTCTATATATTTTTTTTTTTCCAAAACAGAAAAGGAAAATTTACGTTCTGTTTAGCAGAAGCTCCCTGAGTTTCCGTGAAATTCGTAACCTTGTTGGGCTTATTAAGTTTGAAGGAAAGTTTCGGCCCATTATCGTATTCAAAGATGGTCAACTCAAAACGTTGTCGTTTCTTAGTAGCTGTATGACATACAATCAGAGGACATTCAATGAGAGGGCAAAAGAGTAAATTACCCAAATGAAATTGCAATGTAGTAGATAGCTTTGAATCAGTTTCAAAATGTATGTGTGTATATATAATTTGGTATGTTTATTTCACATTAATGCATTTACAAGACATGTACTAGAGACAGTATATAAAATGTACATTTCATGTCCTATGATTATGATTCCTAATCTATAAGATAAACCTGTCAATTACTATATCACAATTAGTATAAAGAAGGTAAGCTCCAAAGATTAAAAAGAGCTGAAGCAAGTAACAGAAACCAACACAAGATAGCCATCGCGGCCGAGAGTTGGTATTGGCTGCAGAGGTTACCGTCAAAGATCCGTTCTTCGACAGATAAAAGCAGTTCAGTTGCACTAGCTACAGCACAAGCCCCACCAAGAGAAAGAAAAGACAGTACCTGTTACAATATAAAACCATTGAGATAAAAGAAATCGGGTTTTTTTCCGCGCGTTTATAGGAAACTTGCTTACGAAATCACCGGCGAAAACGACGGAAAGAACAATTGGTTCCTGAGGGAGGTGTTTGACAAAGATTGAGTATGTGTCGAACAACGCAAATGAGAAGCTCCATGGAGTTACAATAGTCATCACAACCACCAAATAGCTAACCAACATATTATAGACAAATCAAAATCAAAATCTTATGAATTGATGCAACTGCAAAAAGGTTAAGCCTAAAAAAGTAGTTTGTTTGATTCATACCTCTCTCTCACACACACACACATGCTTAACCAAAAGCCAACCACTAACCAAACATCAGATATCATGGGACCAAAACAAACAAACTAATCTTATCCCCACTGTGATCAAAAACCCAATCTCATCAAATGTTTGATCAAACTTGAGAATTTCAACAATTAACGAGTGACCCTCGTCTAAATTTCACTCCTTTAGCCTTTCAGAATCATCTATCCATCGATTCGATTAGAAATTTCCAGAACCCAGAAAGCTACATGCAGAACAATCAATATTGACGAAACCCAGAAAGAAAACACAAAATCGAATAGGAAAATTCAGCGTCGGGATTTTGAATACCAGAAGGAAGTGTTGTAGTAGAAATCGTAATAAAAGTACATGAAGAATAGCGAAGCAGCTGCAAAAAAAGTTTGGCCGAAACGGAGAGCGAAACTGGCGCTGGTGCCGAACGATCCCGGCACTTTCTCCATCCGATTTCCCGCCTGTTTTGATTCATCATCC